GTAGGTGGTTTAGTGCAGGTTGTGCCAGCTGAAATATAGGATTACATGTACAAACTCACCCAGGTCACTGTGATCGCAATATTAAAGATTGGTAGCCTGAACCTCGTGTTTGCTGCCACGTGTCCCGTTCAGTGGCAGGGCTTACTGGATGTTGCTGAGGTGTGTGGGTTTCTCCAAGTGGTGCTCAGCAGTGCTGCAACACAGCAGAAAGGGTTTACTTGCCTTGCTGCTTGTTAATGCTAGAAACTGATAATCTTGTTCTACTTGAGAATATGCTACCAGTTGTTGTAGACCAGGGAATATTTTGTGCCCCCATCCGTAATGAATCTCTCTTCTACCTTTTACATGTTACAGAAAATCCTTCAGAAGCTGTCTTTCAGTTCTGAAAAGGTGTGATTTTGACTTTCCCTGTTCCTGGTGGGTAAAATTGCAGAGTGGAACATGTGTGGGATATTTTCCTTTTTTTCTTTCTGAAAGGTTGTTTTCTCCTGGATCCCCCCATAGGTGCTTCATTATGGTTAAATACAATATGTTGGTGGGGATCAGTTTAGCTGCATTTTAGACTTTCTCACCATCCCGGATAGCAAGCTTCTAGAATATGTATCTATGTATATGGATACATATGTTTGGCAACAAGGCAGTTTGTGTTCTTTGGGTGAGGCTTTTCAGAGAGGATTGGAACTTTTATCTGTGGTCAGTGCAGTGAAGGAGCTTCAGTCTCTCAGGGCTTGCTCTTGTCATTAATACTGAAAAATACTTTGAATACTACCAGTGCTGCTCTGTGGATTAGTGGAAAGATGGAAGTTTTAGTGTTAAGTTTCCGTTCTTAGAGTCGTTAACCAAATGTAATCTCCACAGGGATTGTAGAGCAAAGTCAGTACTGTACCTGGTCCTCACGTTTCTTTTGTGCTGGCTTTATGAGTCTTGCTCTGGCATTTTCTTCCTGAGTGCTCATGCAATGTGTCTTCTGTCCTCACAGCACAAAAAAAACATGCAGACACCATTCTGCATGTCTCTCTCTTCCCTTTGCTTCCCAAGTGAAGGCAAGAAAGCCACTGCCAAACTTTGCCCTGGGTAGCTGAGAATGGGCTGTTTACTGTGTTTCCCACTATACTCTTATCCGTGAGCCCATCCTTGGGGATGTAGCAGGAGTATAACTACTATTGAGTGTGCATGTGTTGGGTGGTGTTCTGCTGTAGTTCTTCCTCACTAGGTATTTCCGTTGGGTGAACTGAAGTTTTGCAGGTGGTGTTGCCTAGTTTTGAGTATAGCAAAATTCAGTTTTGTGTTCTTGTTTTAGGAATAAGAGGGAATGGGCTGTATACTTTGTTTTTCAGTAAGCATTCAGTTCTGTTTTTTTTTTGTTAGGAAAAATAATGACTCAAGTGTTAAAAGCTTCGCTGAAGATCTGAAGGTCTTGCTTGGCTTACCACTGTTTTTGATCCTGGCAACTTGTAGAAATGGGTCAACTCTGGAATTTGTTTGAGGACTTTGTGTAGCTTTTAACAAAGGGAAGAAAAAAGCCGTGTAAGAATGCTTTATGTTAAAACCTGACTGCTTAGAAATCAGGGCAAAATGAATGAACCGTAATTAAAAACTGGATGTCTGCATTTACTGTTTAAATCCTAGAGGAATTACAGTAATCAATCAGGCTATATTACAGAAGTCCCCAGCATCTTTGGGTAGCAGGATGTGGGTCACGTTGCGTTGGATTACAGCTATTCAGTACCTAAGAACTCTCTGCTGAGTTGGTGCCCAGTGTAATATTCACCCTGCCTCTCAGCTCTTAGGAAGGAATACATACTGATGACAAGCAGCCAAACGGACAAATGTAAAAGTATTTTAAGAAGTGCAGAAATTCCTTGTTTCTCATGGACTTAGAAAACTGTGTTGTCTGTAGTTGCTGGCAAAGTGTTTTAGCTTTATGCCGTTTGCTTTTTATTACCTTGCATGTGTTTAGCACTGAAGCAAGAGACCACTTCTGAGAGCAAGTCTAATGTTTTTAAAGTGTATATGAAAGTGTAAGTTTGTTCTTGCTGAAACTTGTGCTTAAGAGCAATTTATGAGAGGAACAAATGCTGATATTTGATATATATAAAAAAAGCTAGTCTCCATACTCTAAAGTTGTCTAAGGGTGTTCAGCTGTAGGTGAAGAGCTGTCCCTGCTGTCAGCTCACTACACAGAAAATGAGCCTGACACAAGGGAAAATTTGCAGGCATCTTAAAGCTTAGTTTATTTCATGTCTCCATCTCCTTTCAAAAAGGTTTGAAATAATTCTTTTGGCTGCTATTTCTACCAATATCCTTATGTCCTCTTTTCAACCCTCAGGAGCTCGGGAACACCTCCGACAAACTCAACAGCTTCTAAGAGCTCCACATGGGTTTTCAGCAGTGGAGCTGGCTTAGGGGCTTGCCACACAACACCACAGTTAATCTCAGCTTGATGCCACAGTTCTTAGGACTGTGCTGTAAACTGGATTACCATCTCAATTTAAAAGCAGAAGGAAGGGGGACTGCTTCCCCCACCATTGCCTTTTAGAAAGTCACTGGCAGAGCTGTAGGGGGTTGCTGAGACAGGTTTTGAGCAGGTGGGACAGAGAGAGTGCATGCAGGACCATTCCTTTTTGCCTTCAGTGCTATTTTTATATAAACTAAGTTACTAGTCAGAAATCTTAATGCTTGGGAAACAACAGTGACTCAGGCAATCTAATTATGGCAGTATTAAGTTCTGCAATATTTTTATATGAGGAGAGCTTGAATGGAGGCCACACCACTGACTTTTATAGGCTTAATTACTTATTCAGGTTTCATTACATTGCCACTTTCCTATTTATTCTGAGATGGTGATTTTCATACCTTTAATTACAAGGATGTATCTGCGCGTGCTCTGAAATCGTTCAGCCTGTATTACATACTGTGTTATATTTGCAAGCATTAAACTGTTTAGGGATTTTTGACTGGCTTTTGATTTGGGGAACTTCAGAAGGACTGCAGTTCCTGTAGGTCAGACTGCATATTAATTGAGTCTGTAGGAGCTGTCCAATCTTCTCTGATACTCTGAGCAATAGGACAAGGGGTGATGGTTTTAAACTGGAAGAGGGGAGATTCAGAGTAGATACAGGATTTTTTTTTTGTGATAAGGGTAGTGAAACAGTGGAAAAAGTTGCCCCTTAGGTGTTAATATTGGGACACGTTTGTATTGCTTAATGTGGCATTGGACACAATATCTTATTATTATTTGTCTTTTTTACCCATCTATTACAGAATAATATATTTCCCATATATTATTCTGTTTTGTATTCAAGGGTCAGTTACTCTGTTCTGATAGGTTTGTAATGATGGAAGTGTATAAATGTATTTTATGTGTTTGACACTGCTGGTATTTATTTTCAATGGTTGTTGGCAGGTTTTGTTTTAGTGCTTTATTGTTCTTTTCAGCGGATGTTTTCACTGGGGCGTACCAACAGGCAGGTAATGAAGTTGTGAAAACTTCGGTGTATCGGATGTGATTGTTGCATTAGTGTAATAACAGTTGCAGGAAAGTGGTGCTTTGCTTGAGGTAAAATGTCAGGTTGAAGATCCTTTAATTTATTCTTCTAAAAAAGATGTTATTTTATATGATAGTTCTTGTAAAAATTAAGTTCTGTCTGTAGGTTGCCATCTGATGTGTAGGTTCAGTGGCATCAAACTAAGCATGGCAGCATAGAATCATAGAATGGCTTGGGTTGGAAAGGACTTTAAGATAATCCAGTTCCAGCCCCCACTCTCATGGGCAGGGACACCTCACACTAGACCATGTCACCCTAGGCTCTGTCCAACCTGGCCTTGAACACTGCCAGAGATGGAGCATTTACCACCTCTTTGGGCACCCTGTGCCAGTGCCTCAGCACCCTCACAGTAAAGAACTTCTTCCTTTTATCTGACCTGAACTTGCCCTATTTCAGTTTGAACCCATCACCCTTTGCCCTATTGCTACAGTCCCTGATGAAGAGCCCCTCTATCATCCCTGTAGCCCTCTTCAGACACTGGAAGCTTCTCTGAGGTCTCCACGCAGCCTTCTCTTCTCCAGGCTGAACAGCCCCAACTTCCTCAGCCTGTCTTCATACAGGAGGTGCTCCAGCCCCTGATCATCCTTGTGGCCTCCTCTGGACTTGTTCCAACAGTTCCATGTCCTTTTTATGTTGAGGACACCAGAACCGCACACAATGCTCCAAGTGAGGTCTCACAAGAGCAGAGTAGAGGGGCAGGATCACCTCCCTGAGCTGCTGCTCACAGTCAGGGGGTGCAGACCCGTGCGCAGCAGGGGTTCTGTGCTGTGAGCGCACACAGAAGCCGGCTCATGTTCATTTTCTCATTGACCAGCACCGCAAAGTCCTTCTCCACCGGGCTGCTCTGAATCTCTTCTCTGCCCAACCTGTAACACTGAAGCCACAAAGATACTAGCAATATGAAGCATGTAGTGCCATCACTTCACTTTGACAAACAATTAACGTTTGACTATTAGTTTCATGTATTATAGTCGCTGTACTTCGAATGCATCTCATACTGCCTGTGACTGGGATTACTGATCACAGGAATGGCTTCTCTAGAGAGATTGTGGAGTAACTCAAAAGCTACCTGGTTGTGTTCCTGGGCAACCAGCTTTAGGTGGCCCTGGTTGAACAGGGAGATTGGACAAGGTGACGGACCTCCAGAGGTCCCTTGTCACCTCAACCACTCTGACTCTGTGATATCTGTGTAAACCACCTCATCATAGAATCAGAATGGTTTGGGTTGAAGGGACCTTAAAGCTCATCCACCACCCTCACAGGGAAGAACCTAAGATCTAACCTGAATATCCCCTGTTCAAGTTCAAACCCCTTGTCCTATTGCTAATGGATCAGTCAAATTAGGTGCTTCATAGGAATATTTTACTACTGTTTTGTAAAGAATTTTCACTTCAAGTGCAGGAACCCAATTGCTTGTGTAACCATGTTTATTTTCTTTTTCCTCTCTCCTAGTGCTGACTTAAAGCTCTTGGAAGAAGCCACAGTCTCAGTCTGCAAGTCTTTAGGTGAGAATTTGTGACATATTTTTTCCATGTGCTTAATCATGTGCACATCCATGTCTTTAATAAACCTAACTTTCCTTCTATGTGTAGTAGTGTAAAGAATGTATTTTGTGTATATATATATCCCTGGCTTTTAGAAGCTTCCATTGTCAATTGTTTTGTAGAGCTTGAAATAACCGAGACATAAAATAATTCCATCCCTACTATGTTTGTGTACTCTGCCCTCTAAGTTGACCAGTAAAGGGAGAGAATTAATTGTAGGTTGAAAGGAAGAGATAGTCTAAATGTGATCAGCGATGTTTCAGGAAGGTAAAAAACTAGTTATGAAAATCTGCCCATGTCTCTTGACAGGAGACTGTTGTGCTATAGATAGGTCTTGAAGGGAAAGCGGTAGGAGCTCTACATTTGGGCTATTTTAAATCTAGGCTGAAAAGTATGTTTAGAGAACAGTTACGGAGTAGTAAAGCATGTACTGGAGAATCTTAAAAGAACATCAACAGCTGTGCAGAAAAACTAGATATACTGTGCTTTGAGCCTTTGAGATTTGGTTTCATTCTGTGTATTTTTTGAACTAAGTAGTGTCAACTTAGAAGTGCTATATAATCATCTCTTATTTTTCCTCATTTAGTTGAGAAGAATCCTCGAACAGGAAACCTTGGGTCATTGATTAAAGTCTTTCTTTCTAGAACCAAAGAGTTAAAAATTTCAGCAGAATGTCAGAAGTAAGTGCCCAAGGAGAAAAGCTTTGTGTGCCGTTTCACTTCTTAAATGTTGCTTTTGCTGCTAGCTCTTGAGTTTTTTACTTCACTAGTAAACATGCTCACAGACCAAAACGTAGAATTCTCTTAAGATGTTATTTGAAAAGAAACAAGTATCTAGTGCTTTTCCAAACACAGATTAAGTGTAATAGGTAAATAGATCACTGGGGGGAAAAGGCATGTTTGTGTTCGTCCTGTGTTACACAAATACATTTGTGTACAGGTGGTGTAACTTCTGGTTACTACTGGTTTAGAGCTGTTTAAACACCTGTCCTTTTTAGCTAAATCTTAATATGTGAACCAGTGTTGATAAAAATATGGAAATATTTTAAATTGAGTTGGATTTGAACACAAACTTCTACACAGAGACATTGCTTTCAAATCATATTGTGCAACTTCCATTAGTTTTGCTTGCCGCTTCCAGCAGTAGGAAAGAACTTCAAGAGTTGTGTGTAGAACTGTATAGTTTTTGCATGAAGCTTTCTGTAATTGTTGCCCCACACCCATAGACGAATGTCCAAGTCTCATCAGATCTGGGACTTCAGAAAGGATGATTTTCTTTTAATGCCCCTTTGTACCAGGACTGTCTTCAGCCTGGATAGCTCCTGCTGTTTTAATCCAAAAAACACCCTGAAAGTACAGCTTCAAGCAAGAGCTTGACTATGTGCTGTTGGATGGGCTTCCCAGCAGATGTTTACTGGGACTCAAGAAAACATAAAGAAGCTATATCACCCTTGCATTCAGAAAGCTTGGAAGACATTTGTGTATGTTGCATAGAAAAATCTTGCTGTACTGTGCTCCTGAAGTTCGTAAATGCCTATGGTCACCTCATGGCTGTTTTGACTGGGAAGAGTGCTCAGGGAGACAGAATAGCTTCTCTATCTGAAACTGATGGAAATTTTCAAACACCTTGATGGCTTGAGTCCATAGAATGTAGAAACCTGAAGAAGAATGCCGAGCTACCTGGTGAGCTCTTCAAAGAGTGGTGTTTTTTAACAAGACAAATTTAGCAATAAAGTTGTATTCTCTCGGGGGAAGGAAAAAAGTACTGCTTTTAAAACCATTTCCAGTTTACTGTATCATCAACTGAAGACTCCATGCTTGAGCACTTTGGCTTTTCCTTGCTTTAACTGTAGGAACCCCTTTGTCTCTGGCATATATTAACTTGTGGCTTTTGATGCAGGTTAGCGGGTTAAGCATTATTGATTCTTCTTTGTTTCTGCTCTTTCCTAGTCACCTCTTTATTTGGCAGGCTCACAATGCACTGTTTATTATTTGCTGTTTGCTGAAAGTATTCATCAGTCGAATGTCAGAGGAGGAGCTGCAACTTCATTTTACTTACGAAGACAAAGCACCGGGCTCATACGGTAGGTATACAATAGTGCTAGTGAAGCATATATCCCACAAGAGACTAAAAAGTTCTTTGTCAGTGTTGGTCGACATGGCATTCAGAAACATGATTTAGTGATGGCCTTGTTAGTGTTAGGTTAATGGTAGGACTTGGTGATCTTAAGTGCCTTTTCCAACCTAGGTAATTCTGTGATTCTATGTTTTATTTAGGCTAAGAATCCAAAATGTTGCATTAAAACTGGAAATGAAGTACTAATGAGGTTCTTTACAACATGTTTACAATTTGGGGCAACCTGTGAGGTTGAAAGTAGGTAGTAGTAAAACAGACTTATTTCTTTGGGGTCTGAATTTGGTGTAAACCGCCTTCCTTTGTATCATACATGTGAAGGAGAACACCTTCAGAATGCGATGAGAGCTTTTAGTTACACATTAGCTGTTGTCATCTGCTAGAATTAAATCTTTGTTAACAAGCTGTTACAGGTTCTTACAGCAAAATAGACTTCTAGAGGGGGTTGGAGTTGTTTGGTTTATTTTTTCTTTAAAGATTTGTATTAAGTTTAACATGGCCATTTATTTACAGACTTATTTTGACATTTATTTTAAACAGTTGTTCAGAAGTGATGCTGTAGACCTACCTTAGCTTTAGTCATTTTCATACAGTTTAAAAGGTGCTAACAGTCCTCTTCAGAAAAACAGAATAGAGCTGAGATAAAGCTGACCATGTATTACTGTAGGAACAATGATGTTGCAATTATTTAGTGTTTCTTTTCACATACATTTCATAAACCAGCAGCAGCCAGGGAGTGGAATTGATGCAATTTTCAGGAATCTAGTGAGGGAAAATAACAGTACTGTGGTTAGAACTGATTCATTGAAAAGCCAGCTGCTAAAATTTAATTAGTGGGCAGTAGTTTATGCAGGAGTACAGGAAATCCCAAAGAATTTAGGAAGAATGTTCAAAACCAAGTGCATCTCCAGGAAATGGATCACATATTAGAGAATAGTTAGGGCTGGAAAGGACCTTAAGATCATCCAGTTCAAACCCCCCGTGTCATGGGCAGGGGCATTTCACACTAGACCATGACAGCCAAGGCTCTGTCCAGCCTGGCCTTGAACACCACCACGGATGGAGCATTTACTACCTCTTTGGGCATCCTGTTCCAGTGACTCACCACCCTCACAGTAAAGAACTTCCTCCTTATATCGGACCTGAACCTCCCCTGTTTTAAGTCTAGACCCATTACCCCTTGTCCTATCACTACAGTTCCTAATGAAGAGTCCCTTGTAGGCTCCCTTCAGACAGCGTCTCTGAGGTCTCCACGCAGCCTTCTCTTCTCCAGGCTGAACAGCCCCAACTTTCTCAGCCTGTCTTCATACAGGAGGTGCTCCAGTCCCCTGATCATCCTCGTGGCCTGCTCTGCACTTGCTCCAACAGCTCCTTGTCTTTCTTATGTATTACACCAGGCAAAAGGTGGCAGGGAAGATGTTCAAGTAATCTAGCTATTCTGTTTCTGCTATCACATCATTCTTGCTGAATGAATAATGTGAATGCATTCAAAATCAGTTTGATTACAGCAAAAAGAAAGTTGTAACACTGCTGCAAATCTTCATGTAGGCCTGTATCAAGACACTCTACAGAACACATGATAGATAATGCTGGCATAGGAGCCTTGATTGCTTTTGCTTTGTTGTAAAGACACTGTTGAGTTTGTAATTGCATGTTGATTGTTGCATAAAGCCAAAAATGGTCTTGCAAGAAGAACTGGTATGAGAACGGTAGTATGGTGTGAGTGGATTATGGAAGAACAACTAAAAGTGCCTGACTCTGGATTTCCCTCAACAGTCAGTCCAGCAAGGGTACGTGTTGGGAACACCTTATAGCTGCTTGCTCATTGAATAGGTAAAACTGTTCGTTAGAATCTGTTCTCTTCCTTGGCACTTGCCTTTGCTCTGGGGGAAGCAGACTTCTGGTGCCAAAAGATTAACTGCTACATGCTGAAATGGTTTAATGTATTTAAACGGTGCTGAGTGATCTCCAAGAATGAAGTCACCTACCTGATGTGTTAGAAGGCAACACCTGCTTATAGAATCATGGAATAATTTGTGATGGAAGGGACCTTAAAGCTCATCCAGCTCCAACCCCTGCCACGGGCAGGGACCCCTTCCACTAGAGCAGCTTGCTCCAAACCCCTGTGTCCAACCTGGCCTTGAACACTGCCAGGGATGGGGCAGCCACAGCTTCTCTGGGCACCCTGTGCCAGCGCCTCAGCACCCTCACAGCAAAGAGCTTCTGCCTAAGAGCTCATCTCAGTCTCCCCTCTGGCAAGTTAAAGCCATTCCCCTTGGCCTGTCCCTACAGGCCCTTATCCAAAGCCCCTCTCCAGGTTTCTTGTAGCCCCTTTATGCACTGGGAGCTGCTGTAAGTTCACAGCAGACTGCCTACAAGTGTGTACTTGCATTAAAAAATATTGCCCACCTCTTGCTTCAGTGGTATAGTGCAGCACAGTACAACAGGTGGAAAATCTGTTATGTTTTGTTAGCTTGCCCCTGCAATCTTTATTCCTTATGCTGGGGGTTCCTCGCAGCATGGTATGAAAGTGATTCTTGTCACAGGGGTGGATCCATGTTTATACCATGTCTAGTAGCACTTGATTGTAATTCACAGTGACATTTATTAGCGATAATTTTGTGCATATTGATGGCAAATGTACTTAGCAATTAACTTTGAGCAGATTGCTCGCTGGATGTTCTTGATTAGGAAGGTAATTGTGTGTGGTCTGCTGGTGAGAGCAGGGGTTGAAGGCAGGAAGCAAGGAGCTTCTCTTTGGCTCATGTGGCTCCAGTCTGCTGCTGCTTTTGACTCTGGTTTCCAGTTGGAGATGGTTCTTGTGACCTTCCTCAAGATGTTGAGGTTCATAATGTGTTGTATTTTCAATAGTTACTCGTTTTGGTCCCTAGCAGATCTTCACATAGGTTTTTTTAAGTATTTATCGAGCATGGTCACAAGGTGAATGCCCTCCTATAGCTTTTGGCTTGCGTATAGGAAAAGTGATACATCATTAATGGAGTATAATAAACTACTGTTGTGTTAGGGCCTATTGAAGTGTGCAGAAAAATAATGAAATGTGGTTTTGTTAGTATTTTTGTAATTAAATCAAGTGTATCTTTATTTTAACTTTGGCGGTTAAAGCGTGACTTGTTATTGTGAAGTTTACACAGATTTATTAGTACTTTTACTTAAGTTTAATGTGCTTAACGCTGTCTTTGGTGAACATGTTTTTTTTTTAAAAATTCAAGCTTCTCTGTGTTCTCCTTGCTGTCTTTACATTTACCAGAGCTTGATGATATTTTGCTGTTCTTCAGTTGTGAGCATGGTAAAACAAACCTTATACACAATTCTGTGAACTATATAATGTAAATAAAATATCCATATAGATAAAAGCTTTCACAGAGTGCCTGAACTTTGAAGTACTGTTTGCTTATTTTCTTACTGGCTGGTGAGTAGATATTGGAAAGAACATTGCAACTAACCAACCTCTCTCTCTCCTGTTACCCATTTTTTAATGCCTTGTTCAATCTCACAGCCTTCTAAAGAGAGGTAACCATTCTTTTCAGGATCATCTTAAAATCTGGGAATCACTGTAGCTGTGTGTTTGAACCGTGAGCATCCATTTTTTTCCTTCTTGGTGAAGCTTATGTCCAAGTACCATGTTCTCTGTGTTTAAATGTAGCACAGTCAGGAGTACATAACTGCAGTGTCAGCACATCAGGCTGCTCACACTGCAGTTGGTCAGAGCGTCAGCATCTGCTGTGTGATATTTGGTATGACAGGCACAAGTGTGTAGTGTATGACAGTAATGATGTATGGAAAATGGCCTGGCGTTGGCTACTCGGGAATATACCTTGTATTTTGGAAGATTATATATGACATAGCCACAATTGTTTAGTTAGCATTTTTTAATAAGTCTCTTATCTTGAAGATTTCTCCTCCCGGATTTGCAATTTATGTGCTTTTGCTTTTTCTGAATGTCCAATTTGTGCTTTTCCCAACTAAACTGTGTTTTAAGCTCAGAAGAAAGCTGAGCAGTTGTGCTTTGTGTCATGAAATGTGATTATTAAGGTTTTTCATTTTCAAGTTTGAGTCCGTAGATATGTTGTAGCCTATAATTATAAAGTTGTAGTGAAGAAATTGTACGTGATTAGTCCCTGCTAACAGCGTTGTTTATTGAATTCCTTCAAGAATCATCTGACCATTAGCAGAAGCTTGTTCCTTTTGACAGTTTTCGGAAGATTCTTTAGTCCAGGAAGAGCAACTTTTGCCTTTTCATCCACAATTGGGAATTTGCATATAGCTTTGGAGGATTTTTGTTTTGAGGATGTATTTGGGCTGATTTAGCCTGGAAGAGAGAAGGCTCCTGAAGGGGAGATGTGGGAGCAGCTCCAGTGCCTAAAGGGGCTCCAGGAAACCTGGAGGGGAGCTTTGGACAAGGGCCTGTAGGGACAAGCCAAGGGGAATGGCTTTAACCTGCCCGAGGGGAGACTGAGATGAGCTCTTAGGCAGAAGCTCTTTGCTGTGAGGGTGCTGAGGTGCTGGCACAGGGTGCCCAGAGAAGCTGTGGCTACCCCATCCCTGGCAGTGTTCAAGGCCAGGTTGGACACAGGCGCTTGGAGCAAGCTGCTCTAGTGGAAGGTGTCCCTGCCCGTGGCAGGGGTTGGAGCTGGAGGAGCTTTAAGGTCCCTTCCAACACAAACCAGGCTGTGGTTCTGTGATGTGATATTGAAGATTGTTGATGGTAGGAAAATCCTCATAGAGATTTCAGCCATATTCTTTAACATTCAGCTAAAAAATCTGGATATTAATAAATCCTCAACTGGACTCAGCGTATGCGGATCTAAGGCTGGAGTTTGGCTGGCACAAATCATCCATCTTTCAGTGAGGCTTCCTCTGTCTGTATCCCATAATTTTGGCACAGTCTTTTACTATTGTGATTCAGAGGTGTAAGAGAGCACACGCTGTTTATTATATTCTAAATCAAACCATCAATGCATTTAACCTATTTTTGACCTGCCGCAAGAGACTTTATTCATACTCTGCAGAGAAACTTTTATCACTCGGCTGCTAAGGGCAGTGTTTGTTCTATTACAGCAAATCCGAGGACACAGAGGAGGGAATAAATTATGATGCATTTACTTCAATCCTCAAATGATTTCATGACTGCTCAGCTGTCATATAAAAGAAATGAGGGATGGCAATTAGTTTATGTACTCGTTACTGACACTTTTAAGTGAAAGTTGGGAGCTTTGGGCAGCCCACAGAGGTGGAGATAAAACCACAAAACCCAGAGAAGCTTTAAGTCCACCAGTTGTGTAACACGTTGAATCGATGGGGTTTAGTTACTGTTTTGCAAATAACAAATTATCTCCTTATTGGTGCCTGGATTCTATCTTATCTGTAGGAGCAATAGGGAAGAAAAAGAACCTTGCTCTGCCTGAATATCTTATTAATAAGCACAGCTAGCTGCTACAGCAGCCTAGGTCAGGTTTTGGCAACACAGCAGTTAGGTTCTTGAGAGGAAAGACTGTTTTATTGTGAATGTTAAACCCTGCTTCATGGCCAAGGATGGAGCTGGGCTGGTTTCAGTAGAAGTGGAGTCTCTTGGCATGTGTACTGTCCTCTGGATAAGCTGTTTTGCTTGTGCAGTGCTAATCCAGTGTCTGTAATGCGTATAGCTTTGAAAAAGTTTTTTAAAAAAAACAAATTATGTAAAAAAAACCCGAGAAATCTAACCCAAACAAACCCCACCAAAAAAAACCCTACAGTGCAAGTAATGCACATGTTTGAGGACTTCAATATATTGGTAAAAGATGGTACTTCAGCATAACTGGACATTTGAAAGCTGTGTGTGTTTGCAGTTACTTCTGCACTGCAGCAGACTTTAGAAGATGCACCTATGATTCTTCTCTGTGCAGGTCTGCTCTTATCTGGACAGATTCACCCTCTGCTTATATTCCCCAAGGCTTTACACGTGTCTTTGATCCAAGTATGTGATCTATTAACGTGAATGACTATTGTGTGTATTGTCTCTATCCTGTTACTGAAAAGGGCATTGTTTATGAAAACACATCGTGTTCTGCGTTTATAGCTCTCTCTCACGTTATAGATTTGGCATGAGTCCGCCTCATTGTCTTGGCAAGACAAGGATTAAACAAGAATGCATGTGCCCCAATGGGGAAAAGGATACATTCGTTATTGTAGCTGAGTGACATTGATTACAGCAATTAAGTCTTTTTTTTTTTTTATTTTTAAAGAAAAAATAGTTTGAGAGCAGAGCAGGGAAGACTAACATCTTCCATTCTGTGTGATTGTACTAACTCAATATTTTTGTGCTTTATTTTGATTATACTTTGGGGGAAAAAAGCCCTCTTTCATATTGAGATAACATTAATCTGTCTTCAGATGGGTTGTGTATAGCATGGTGGGAGAAATTATGTTCTTAAAATGCACTCACTTTACTTTTTTCATCCTTTTTCCTCCTCCTTTTCCTCAGTTGTTAAGAAAATGAGGCACTTTTGGGGACGTAGTCTTGCTCCATAAGCGTTTTCTAGATTCAGAAAACCTTAGAAAACTGTCACGTTCAGGTTACTTATAGAATACATTATCTGGGCTTCATTATTGGCTGTGGTTCTCTCTAAGGTTAAATACTACTAGCAGTTCTCTTTTTTTTTTTTTTTTTACTAACAGGAGCTACATTGTGTTACTCATGGGGGATTCTATATAAAGGAAACCACGTTTCCGTGATAAAAACCTGATTTCCTTTAGAATGTGCAGTTCACTAGGTGACAATTTTTAATGTGTTTTTAATAAACTGATTGTGGAAAGAAATAATTTTGCTTTATTGTGAATATTCCCTCTAGTGTGCTTCTTAAAATTGAGTCCTGGCTTTAAGAACAAACTTGGGTTAAACAGAGTAACACTGCCATAACCTGGCTGTAATGTTGTGTTTATTGCAGGATGTATTTATTTGAAAATACAAAATAAACAAGCTTTTGGGTAATCATTGAGATGTAATGCAGAGGGGAAAAACTATGCATGCTTTTAGGCCATTCAGCACTATAAAACCCTACACTTCTTTGTGCTGTAGGTTTCTCTTTATAATTTTCTTTCGAAAGCAGAAAAAGAGATTTGTCTTTTTTTGTTCAGTATTATGTGACAACTTCAAATGGTTTAATAAGCTTTTTCCTCAGTAAGTCTTCTAAGTTTTCGGTACAGTTGCTTTTAAAAATTGCAGTGCCAGTGTAAAATACCACCAGTTTTATTGCTTAGAATAGCTGAATTTTTAAAATAATTATGCATTTTTAAAATAGTCTTATGCATTTTGTCACATTGTGTGTGAGTAGAGAATAATTTCTGCTCACTTGAAATGCAGTTTTAAAAATTCACAAATCCTTACTGTAAAAATGTGTGAAACCTCTTCAATAAGTACATATGTGTTCATGAAAAAGTAGTGTGTACGTTTGATTGTGTAAGAGCAACAGTGATGTGTACAGCAGGCTGCATTCGTTTGAAGGATCACAGTTTAGAATATTGTTCAGTTATGTTAGGCAAATGGAGCAGTTTTTTGTCTGTCTCTGCTTATTCTTCGCTTGGGATTAGAAAAAAAAGTGGGAAGATAGATGAAATGCAGGGAATTTTGAGATGAGACTTGGAACTGTAGAACTGAGGAAAAAGTCAGTAGTGATCAGCTGTTCAGCTGTTAGCGGTAATGCCATTCAATATGACCTTAGATAAGTAGGAAAGTAAGGCTCAATGTGCTTAATATTAGCATGTTTTTACAGTACCAACATCTCACTTTCCAATTGTTATTAGTTATCTTTTTATGTATTAAAGGGTAAGCATCACTGTTATCCCAGTGATAATCCCAAGCGCTTTCTGTTTCAGGAAGGAATGCCATCTACTTAGACAGTTTATCTTCTGGTGTCCATTCCTTAATTAAAATACTGATTGTCTGGATCTAGGTGTGTAAATCTTTGCTTTCTTTCAGTATTTGAAAATCCAGAAAACCTCTATATGCTTCTTTTCAGGAACAGAGTGTGAAGACCTCATAGAAGAATTGCTGTGTTGCCTTGTCCAGCTCATTGTTGAAATTCCCCTCTTGTAAGTTGGCTTTTTCCTTTATCTTTTTCTTGCCTCCTTGTATAAACTGAGCATTTGAGAGAATATAAAAGTTAGAGTGATGGGGCTATAATGTTTAAATACTTGTGTGTGAATGCTCCATGTTCAGTACTGATAACGATAACCTGCTGCCAGTACCAGCCCTGAGTCTTCTGTTGGAAGAAGTACTTCGGCATCTCACACACGCTTCAATTCACCAAGAGAAGTTATCCCGTTTTATTTTGTAGTAGCTTTGACATTTGTTTGAGGAACCTCTGTGGGCACACAGACAGTTGCTGGTAGCTTATGGCTGTAAATGGTTGTGCTGATTGTACAGGGAGGGGTGCATTGGGGTGTTGCTTCGTCTCTAGGGAGTGCAGCAAGGTGCAAATTGAAGTTTGTCTTACACAGTTGCATGGCTTTTTGAACTGCATGTGCATTAAATAAATGTTACGACTCATTTAATATTAATTTCTGGAATATCAGTGAATTGAAATATCAGTCTGAAGAAGCAAGGAGACCAATGAGTAAGTGGAATGTTTCTGTAGATCTCCAGATTTGCTTATCTAGCTTTTTTCATGCATCTGCTGTATTTGACGTATATTGACTCCACATCTCACTGGGATACGTGTCATGAAACATACTTCAGTATTACATGAAGGAGAACTTATTTCGTTCTTTGGAAATAAAAATTGTTTTATGCACCTGTCTTGGTATGTTTTAACCTCTTTTTTTTTTTCTGCAAATAAACTTTATCAAAGATAGCGTTAGCAGTATTAGATGATATTGTGCCTAAAATGTGGTGCCCCAATTAAAGGATCACAGCTTTAATTAATAAGAGTTTCAGATTATCCCTTATAGTGTAGTGTAAAGCTCTGATGATGATTTAGGTTTTGTACTTCAGATTGTTCTTTAAGTTGGAAAGCTGACAAAATGCAATGGGTTCTGAAACTGCTATCATTAAATACAACTCTGTCACCATTACTTGAGGGTTTTGTGTTGGTAGTATGTAATGAATTAGTGATATGATTTAGAGCGTCATTCTGCAAAGCTTGTCAGGACTTCCTGGAACAGATACACTTTTTGTTTGGAGCAGATTAAAGGAAGTATGAAGGGTGAAAGGACTGCGATATATGGGCAAGTTCATAAATCCTGCAGGGTTTTATTTCTCTTTCTTCTAAGTCCCAATGTGTGCGTGGGGTCCAGTATTACTTACTTTGTCTTTCTGGCAGAAAAAAATTTGCGGGCATTATTGTTCTTAACCCTTTTGAACAACTCAACCTGTCAGCATCTCTGTTTCTTTGTGAATGCTGTTGCTGGGGATGCAAGTAGCTGTTGAAAGCACTTAGTTTACTGAATAATATAGTGGTAATAATGGTTTATTTAAAAAAAAAAGTGACAAAGCCTGTCTATAATCTTAAATGTTCAGCTTAAAACGTATTCACTTTTCATAAGGGAAAGTTGTGGAAAGTTTGCATTTTGGGTTTCTTTTTTTTTAAAATAGGTTTCCTTAGCTAGTTTTTCTCTTGAAATAGAATGCTACTGAACTGGTAGTAGGATACTAAAACTTACAAAAGTAATTTATTGTCTTGTTCACCAGTATAACATTCGTCACAATGTGATAATGCCTTAACTAACCATTTTATCCCTAAATCATCATAGGGGGAGTAGGGTACGGGAAAGGAGATACAAAAATTCTTGCTTTCTCTAATACACAATCCAACTCTTCATAAAGATGTTATAAAGCTCAGATTTTTGCTTACTGTAATTTTATTTGCTGGAGGATGATCAAGATTATTTTAGTAGTGAGTTTACCTTTTGCTTCCCTCCCTTTCCTTGGTCAGATTTACGCTGTAAATTCTTTCCCTACTTTGTATTAAAGGAATAGTTAATTTCTGTCTTTTGGGTGGAATAAATCAAGAAAAACATAAGCCTACTATGTGAATTTTGGGAAGGAATATATTATGTGTAATACATGAAGTATTCAAACCTTGAGATCATTTGCTAGAGGACAGGCAGCATTGGCAGCATACAGTGGCACTGCTAACAGGGTCTCTGTAAAGCTGCTATTAAAGATGAATTTTTGTTGTGACAGACCATTAAAATATCCATGCTGAGCCTGTGTTTGAAGTGTCATTCAGAATAGCAAAGTTTTTGTTAGGACCGCTCAATAGCCTGAACTGTGGATTGTCACAATTTGTGTGTCCCTTGGGTTCTGTGGATGCAGTTTCATGAAGGAGTGGATACAGCTGGCAGCTGCTGTCTAAATATATTGCTTCTCTACACCCTGGTTTAAGCTGCTGTTTTTCCTCCTTCACTGAAATACTAAGATTATTTTTAAACCATCAAAGACCATCTCGGTGTCTGAAATGCAGGAGCAGAGGTACCTGTACAACAGTCCTGCACTCTTTGCTTTTAGAATGGTTCTAAATGTCACCTGGGAATGGCTTTAACCTGACAGAGGAGACACTGAGATGAGCTCTTAGGCAGAAGCTCTTCCCTGTGAGGGTGCTGAGGCGCTGGCACAGGGTGCCCAGAGAAGCTGTGGCTGCCCCATCCCTGGCAGTGTTCAAGGCCAGGTTGGACACAGGGGCTTGGAGCAAGCTGCTCCAGTGGAAGGGGTCCCTGCCAGTGGCAGGGATTGGAACTGGATGAGCTTTAAGCTCCCTTCAAACACAAACCATTCTATGGGTTGATATGACCAAAACCAAGTGTAAGACTTTGGGCTTGGCAGGGGTGCTGAGTTCATGAACGCTTGAGTCTTTGTGCAGTGTGGGCAAAGCTTGCTCACCTTTGAGCTTGCTCTACAAGCTTTATTAGAACAAGCTCATGTGTGCCTAGAAAATAACCTACAGAGAGATTTGGAAAATGCAGGTGGGCAGTCTAGCTCAGAATGAATAAGGAAGGTGTGAGGTGGGGAAGAAGTCAAATGGCAAATCTGTATCTCACTACTCCATATGCCTTAGTATGAAATATAACTGAAGAACCAAAATGTGTTGATTGTCATTGGGAAAGGCTGCAGAAGTATACAGCAAAGCATATCTAGGAGTGTCTCAGAATTGTGTATGGTGAATTTAAGAAACTGCTTCTCAAAGTTAGTTTGTATTGGGAAAGGTAAATGCTTTAAGGCAATTCAACTTGGCATAGCTAAACCAGGTTGTAGGAGGGACCGTGGGGCTCTGCAGCATTGTGGCTCTGTACCTGATGTTTATTAAAAGTATCTGGAATTATCCCTTTGAAAAACAGGCCCTGCTGCATTGTACAGAATGCCAGGGAAGAAGGTTTCATGTTTAAGTTTAAGACATTTTATAGAAACTACAGCATTATTGCTTTTCAAGAATTAGACTTTTGCAGTCCCTTTATAACATTTGTGTTATGGTATGTTGGTGTTTGATTTATGGCTCCCTTGGGTATGTTATGGATACTCAGCTTTTTCTTTGGTTTTGTTAATGTTAGCACTCAAGAGTGTACATTCATGATTAAAAGTGCATAATCAGCAAAAATATGCCACTTCAGTATTTAATTGTATGACTTTAATGTAGAAACTATTGCTAACGTTATGTTGCAAGATAGAGCTCCCAAAGTTAAATTATAAAGGCTTCTTTCAGCAGCTTGTTAAGAGCTGGTATACATAACTGAACATCTGGTTGTTATCAGTAGGTTTTCACTTCATTAAAATCTATAAATGCATATGGAGGAAAAATGAAATACCGGGATTTAGTTGTGTCACTATTGAGTAGCACCCTGTGGTGCCAGTAGAAGTTAGTTGATATTTCTAATACATTCCATTGTTTCCTATAGTTACAATTGGCTTAGGTTGTAATCTCAGTTATTTCCAACTGTAAACATTAGCAGTGTTTTGTTGCATTTAAGGATGTTTCACTGCATTTCCTGGGAGCTTAGAAGGAGGGAAAAGGGCAATATAACTGAGTATAAAGCTCTACAGAGTCATTGCAGTGTAGAGTGCCATGTTGAGAAACGTTTAGGCTTTTTTTCCTGGAAATTGTGAGCAGTGAAGAGGTTAAGAACTGTTTTCTCTCCTATTTCGTGGCTGTCATATTTTTATTATTTGCTACTTTTGGAAAAAAAGGCCAGAATAGCGCTTCTTGAAAAAAGGACTGTTCAAGGAACTTTAATCAAGATTGTAGTAGCTCCAATATTTGAAGAGCTATTGAGTTCAGCATTTTTGGCAATTTTGTCTAATCATCAAAGGGAAACTTCCATCTGTTGAAACTTAGCTTGAAGCGAGCGAAAATACCCAAACTGCAAGAGATTTGTGTTGCTTCGCTTTGAAGATCCTCAAAGTTTAGGACTCCTCTGTGTAGGAGGGATCTGGTGAATATAAAGAGAGTTTTATTTACTGCTGAACCTTGTGGTGGTGCGTCAAATAAAAAATACTGATTTATTTGGAAGATTTTCTTCATCACTCTCGCATCCCTTTTTCAGCTGGCAGATGTGTGGCCTCTTAAGTGAGTAAAGGTCTCAAGCAGGAGAACCTTTATCTGTATCATGTATTTTTCTTCCAGTTCTAATTATATTCTAATTTAGTTTTATTTCAAACTTAGATCATCGTTTCTCCATGACCTGGCTTTTCACCAGGTGAGGTTTAACTGCCATACAACTTGTAGCAGCCTTTGTAATCGGAGAGCATATTATTAGTGGTGTATAGTATGTATCATACATTGTGCTGTATATTCAGGCTCCTAATCATCTGCTTTCTGTTGTTCTGGTTTTCAGCCCTGTTTTCACAAAAGGTATTGGATGCATCTTGAAAAATAGGCTTGCTAGTATTTGAGGTTTGTCTCTGATCTGGGCAGCAAAGAGAGCTAGCCACTGAGGTCAAGTATATCTCTTTTTGGCATCTTAAAAGTTTGAAGACTCCTTCAAATCAGTGACAGTGACCACGTTGACAGCCCTAAGCCTTTTTTCTCTATTGCATACACAACCATAAGACCCAAAGATGTTATTGCTGTCACTACATCAAAATGGCTCTGTCTTGGAAC